CATTTCACAGTACGTGAAATGTACCTAGTAACTGCAATAATAATAAATAATTGAATACTGGAAAATACTATACATTGTTGTTAAAATAATAAATAAATAAATATGTATTTACATTTAATCTTAATTCATAATTTATATTTAATAATTCTATAATTAACTGTGAAATCCCCTTGAGTATTGTACATATAATATCACTAGGATTTCACAGAAATATCATTAGAATAAAGTATTAGAACAATGTTTACTCTTATACATTATGTACATTTTTTATAAGCCATAAATAATTACATATGTATTAAGAATCAGCTAGTAGAAGCGTGAAATGGATGAGGAATAAGCTATATACATTTATCTGAAGCTTACCCATCCTTGATCACATCATCAGGGCATCAGATTGCATCATAACCCTCTTGGATGGCGTCATCAGGACCCTTTTGTGCTCTAATTCAAAGCTTGCATAATTCAAAGCAGCCTACACGGGAAAGGAGCCCAAATTCTACATGCAAGACTGAATTATGCATGAAGGACATGCATTTCTCATGATCACAAGCTTGCATAAGCAGAGTTACACGTATGCAACCAACTCTACAATTGCACAGCCCCTGCACAGTAACTGTAGCCTTTTCAATTACGTGAGAAATAGGCCACAAAACTCAATTATGCATGTATGATCTCATGTCCTAGGACCTTCCACCCCTGCATAGCACTGCACAGCTGCAGCTCCCATCCTTACACGAAATTGTAGAGCTTCTAAGAAGCTCCCTAGTGCCCTGAGGGCCTCTCCTCTTCCCCTGAGCCCCCTGTAGAATATTTAAGGAGCTCAGATTCCTACCTTTTCCCCCCAAGAAATTCTAGTAGCATCAAACCAACACTTGTACAGTGATTATTAGTGATTCAACCCACCAATAACATTACAAACCTGCTACCTTAGACCTAAATAGATTTACTTTGCTCAGATTCAAGGCATTTCTACTTATCTCTATTGCATAAAGAATTATCCCCCAGGTTAAACAATTCTGGTCCTTAAGTGTTGATACACTTATTAATCTGAATTGTTGTTAAAAGATTTATCCCAAGTGAGTTGAAGAAGTCCTCACCTTGGAAGCCTATTAATCCATGCAAGAGGATTGATCCGGATGCCCAATTGAATAATTGGATGAGTCAGCAGTAGAAGTACCATTCCTCACTGACTCCTCCCTGTTTCTTTTACAGGTTGAGGGATTTAACCAGAAATAAACCTTCTCACTTACCATTCTTGTTAACACTCAGAGCACAACCCTTACAGGTTAGTAGCATAGAGGCTGACAGCAACCCAGCCCCTGTAGGAGACCCTCAAGACCCCTCAGGCCCCCAAGAAGACCCCACAGACCCCCATGAAGGACCTCAAAACACCCCAGGCCCCCAAGAAGACCCAACAGACCCCCATGAAGGCCCTCAAAACACCTCAGGCCCCCAAGATGACCCCTCAGGACCTCATGAAGACCCTCAAGAGCCTGAAGCCCCCCACAAAGACCCCTCAGGACCTCATGAAGAGCCTCAAGACCCCCACCCAGACCACTCACTACCCCAAGATGCCCCTCAAGCCCCTCAACCCCCCAAAGGAGACGCCGTGGTAGACGTGGTCGTAGGCTCACTGTTGCATGGAGGAAATCCGGTCGGTGGACCTCTGGACGACAAGCTTGGCGTACCTACTGATGGTTTAAATCAGCCTCAAGGTGAGTTTCATTTAATTCCTCACCCTCTGTCTCCACCTTCTGTCTCCACCCTCTGTCTTTCTCCACCCGTGAAGCTCTTGCTGACAGACCTGCGGTCTCAGGACCTCAAGATGCCCCTCAAGCCCCCAAAGGAGACGCCGTGGTAGACATTATCGTAGGCTCACCATTGCATGGAGCGAATCCGTCGGATGGACCTCTGGACGACAAGCTTGGTGTACCTACTGCTGGTTTAAATCAGCCTCAAGGTAAGATTCATTTCATTCCTCACCCTCTGGCTCTACTCTGTCTCCACCCCTCATGCTCTTGCTGACAGACCTGCCGTGATGTCCCAACGTCCAGATGCAAACCTCCCCGTTGCTGAAGATGAGGTTATCCTGTTCTCTGAAGGTATCGACGCCGGCCTCTCCGTACCCGGTCGTTCCCCCGGTGAAGATGATCCTGCCCCCATGTTGACCCACAGCAACAGACCCGCGGTTGTTTCCCCTCAAGCCACTCCAGCCGCTGCCTCCCCGACTGTCTTCACTCAGGCTCATGGTCAGATCCCAGCTTCTCCGGCCGTCCCATCTGGTCAAGCCCCACCAGATGAGGTTATCCAATCCTCGGGAAACCCTCTAGACGGTATCGACCCCGCCCTCTTACAACTCACGCAGGACTTCTGTGCATCCCAGAACTCCCAAGGACCTCCACATGAAGAAATTCAAGAGGAAGAGAAGGCGGAGAAGACTGTCAATGAAATATATGAAGAGCTCTCCAAGGATGTTCTGGACGAAATCCTCGAGGAAGATTCAGACGAAGACAAGGCCGCAATCGCTGAGATATTGGATGAGCAACTGATGGCTGGTTGTCTTCTAGCGTTTGTTGCGTACAGAAAAGGGAGAATGGTTTTTGGGGAGAAGACTGCTTGGATTTCAACAAAGGAACCCAGACATGGGCTGTGAACCTTTTTGATCCGAGGTTGCTATTCAGTTCAAGTTTGAAGACTGGATAGAGCGATTGAGGAAGAAAGATATAAAAAAGTGACCCAGATGACAACTGCGGTGGGGCATCTTTTTCAAGTTTGGATTGCTAAATGTTGGATAGCAACTTAATTTAGTAACCCCCCTGTAGATGCTCTAATGATGATAATGATTATCAGAGGTCTCTAAAGATTTGATATACTTTGTTGGATGATCCTTCTTTCACCCAAGAATGTACATATGTGTTTTTTTATTTATAAGATTCTTGGTGTGAGTTGGGACGTAGTCGGGTGACTCATGAAACAGGATTTCTTTGGGTGGTTATTTTGGAGATAGAGTCGGTGTCCTGTGTGACTTTGGCATATCTCACCTGCATTTTTGAGAAGGGGCTTATGAAAAAGGATGCTATAAACAATAGGATTGGTTTAAAACTGTTCAGAAGCTGGGATCATTCCCGTTTTTTTACCTCCTTGATCAAGTTGGCCCAAGCTTTTTGAACATGAGTCTAGAGTGCCTGTCACGATAGACTTGGCGAGTGAAGAATGCAAAGATAAGCGAAATAAATTGGTCGAATCGTCCCTTTTCACTCAAGCCCCCTCTCGTTTTGAAGGTCGTCTCCGACTTCGAGGGTCGAAGTGGTACATACGATTGATCTCTTAAATCTCTTGGATCGGATTGAAACCAGCTCATCAACTCACTACTCATACCGTCCTGCATTCTTTTTTTCTTCCAAAAAACGCCGACACATAAGGACAAGTCCTCGACCAACCGATTAGAAAAGAAAAGCTATCAAGATCGATAGAATTTATTTCTTCTTTATTTAACTTTTTTCAAAAAAAAGGAAAGGATATCATAAGAAAGACAAGTTTATATTACTAAGGATTGATTGGGAAAGAAAAGAAAGAAGAAGGGAAAAATGTATTTCCTAATTTTTTTAATAGAAGGAAATATCTTCGTTCTTCAACCTTTAAAACACGGTTATCAACACTCTTTCAAAGAAAAAAAATTGGAACTACGTTCGCAATTTAATAGTGCGATCGCCCAATGTTAGGATGATTATAAAAATGGCTATCCGTCAAAAAAACGGAACCAGCATCGACGACATAGAAAAAGGAGAGAACCCAAAGGGTCTGCGTGGATATCGCAAGAACGGCTCTGGTTCGGTCGATCGATTCGGTCGGCTTTGAAAGTACAAAAAATCATTATGTTAACTCGTATACTCGGCACATCGGACAGCTTATGATATCACTTACTCAAATTTTTGAGGGTAGCCAGTGAAACCCAGACTGTCGACTGTATGAGAGGAATGGGGATCCGATCTTCATCCAAGTCGACAAATACCAGCCAGTCCTCTCGGGGAGCTGAAGACTGCATGATCTGGGAAAAAGGTTAGCGGGATATGACCCCAATTGACCAGGCCAGACCCTGTTTACAGGATATATGCCTGGGAGCAAGTGGTGGGGTGTAGGAAGTTGAACGATTCGCTCAGCTGCAGATCGATTAAGGGCTTTGCGGTTCATTTGCTATGAGACAAACGAGATTACACACCTTCAGGGTCGGCTGGGAGATGGATATTTACATGCGGATGCATGCCATTAGTGGCTCAGCGGATAAGCCCGCGCATCCGATGTATCAAGTCAACGTCATGGGGATGCTGTGAAGATTCCGAGACTCTGGTCAGCAAGCGACTTGCGTTCTTGATATATTATCAGGAGGAGAAGAGAGAAACTTTGGACTCACATATGCCATCCGACGCGTCCAAGGAAGAAAAACACACACACACACACAAGAAGAAAAAAGAGAGAGAGAGAAGAATGGAAAGGACCATTTTGCAGATATGGACTGCTGGTCCATTCCAGAAGAAAAGAAAGTCCATCGGAGTCGAAAGTGGTTGCACACTTTGCTGGATATGCCCATGTGAGAGCAACCACGTTCGACTGGTACCACTGTATCATGAATCAAATTGTATCAAGATCAATTAGTTCATGTTACTCATTCAGCAAGAGATAAAGTATAATGGGTGCTTACCGCGCGTTTCGAGTCGTCGGCGGGTATGGGCCACAAGATTAGACGCGTCTTACAGATACGAACTGCTCGTCCAACGATGGAAAAGGAAAGTCGATTAAAATGATAGGAGATATGAGAGGTAGAAAGAAAGAAGATTTGAGCTGCCCACTTCGCTGGATATTCCCTTGTGAGATTAACCCAGCTTGGCCGGTATATCTAGGTCATGAATCGCATCGGAGTAAGATCTGAATGTTCGTTCTTGCTGCCAATACAAGGGAAAAAAGTATTGCTTACACTTGTCGTGAGACGCGTCCAACGATCGTTAATATGAAGAGGTTGGAGGCCTTGTCGCGCTCTTCGAGGGCAGTCGCTGTACGTCGTCCAGAGATTGGGAGTCGTCGGGTACGAGTTGCGAGATCGCGTGTCCATTGCAGATATAAACTGCTGGTTCCTGATACGGAACACCAATCGAAGTGCCAGATGAAGAGAAAAAGAAGAAACTGAGAATTCTTGCCCACGTTGTTGGATATGCCCAATTGAGAGCGATCTAAATTGAAATGGATGTTAGTTCTTGCTACTGATAAGAGAGAAGAGAGAATGGTCGCTCACATTGACCATACGACGCGTCCAACTTGTACTGATATGAGGTTGGAGGCCTGTCGCGCACTTCGAGTGTAGTCGCTGTCCTTCGTCAAGAGAGGCCTGAAAGTCGTCGGAGGCGAGTGACGAGATCGGATGTGTGTTGCAGATACATGCTGCCGGTTCCTGAGATGGAGCGCTGATCGAAGTGCCATATGAAGGAAAGAAAAAGCTGGGAGTTGTTTTCACTTTGCTGGATATGCCCATGTGAGAACAATCCCGCTGGATTGGGGTTGGTTTTTTTAGCTTTTCGGCGCATCTGAAGAAGAACTCGATGTCAGTTCGTGCTGCTGATCGTAGAAGAGAAAACAATTGTTACTCACTCATGTCATCCGAGGGGCCTACCGGATGGCGATGGCTGAAGATGGGGGTTGTCGCGCAATGCGACTGCGTGTTATTCATCGTCAAGATCATGAAATTGAAAGCCATTTGAGTGGCATGATTACAGGAGGGGGAGGGAAAGTTGATCGGAAAGCATACCGACTTGCAGGATATTTGCCCGCTGGTCGATGAATTGGAAATGAAAAAGCAGTGACAAAGCAAGACTGTCATGGATTTAGAACGTAATAACTCCAAAGGATTGGAGTGAATGAGGAGATGCAAGAATACCAAGCAATCAATGCTGGAGCTTGCATTCGAAAAAAAAAAAATGGAAGTGGTCTTGTTGACGATGAGGGGTTGAAAGAGATAGGGAAGCATCTCGCTTTATAGTTGATGTTCTGATTGACCGATGATGTTGAGAGGATGACTAGTCCACGTTGTTGATAGAATGATTAGTCCACTTGCCTGTTTATAAAGGTGTATAGGAAAATCAGAAATAAAACGGAATGAGCGACGGGTGATTGAAAGGATCGGGATGCTTCAAGAGCAAGCCAGAAACGAGTGTAGAGGCGTCATAGACAAGAGTCATCGCATCTGCTTCAAGCGGAGGATGGTGATGATAAAATGTTCGATCAACTGTTTCAAAAGAAACGTTCTTGGGTCGAGCTGCCCAAGCGTTCTCGTCCACACCACATGGATACGTGAGCTATGGTGGACGAGGAACAGGTTCTCCGATTCTTGAAGCATGAGCTCTAGTCGACACATCAGGGATAAGTGAAATAGTGTCGACTGGGAATGGTGATGCTCAGCTATGATGGAGAGAACGGCGGAAGGAAAGCCTCAGTCTAGAGGGGAAGAAAGAAAGAGAGGGGGGCAGTCTGGGATATAGCCTATTGTCTGTGTCGGCTATTCATCCCAAATTTCAGAGAAGGGAAAAGGGCGAAAGGAAATATTCAGATGGGAGGAAGATGGAACCGATGAGGGAAAAAAGTGGGAAGAGGGCAGCAGAGTGCTCCTTTTATAATCGAAAAATGGCTCACGGAAACAATCTTAGGTCATCAAGGATTCAGTAAGCCACTGACACGATCAAGGGTATGGGGCTAGTTATGTACTTTGTTCTATTACAAAGGAGATATTCTTTGTGTTTCTTATTCTACTTCAGACTACTGGTGTTTAGCCTTCAGCTGAGGAGCCAAACAATTTCCCCCCTTTTTGCAGTCCCCTTTTGCGCTAAGTATACTTGCGGCTACAAAGGGTTGATGATACTAACGAAAAACTAGCGGTTTGCCCGAAGGTTTACATACCAATATTAACTTAAATGGATGTGGATGATTGGACCGTCAACATGTGTAATCCTGGACATGACGATGCGCCAACCAAATGGTTCTATTTCAACCGACTATTCAGGAGATAGTCCCCCGTCATCCAACTCCCAATTCCCAACCCGTTTGTGCTCGCAGGGTAACGGGACGTTTCTTTTGTTGTTGGCAACTTTCCTAACAAACTGGAATATTGGTCTCGTAGAAACTAACCGATCAGGGGTCCGCGGAAAAAGGCCCATTGTATCAATCATCTGCGGTCAAAATTTCCAAAGAGGTTAGAATTTCAAGGCCGATGGCGATACCAGTCTTGAAGGCTCGTTCCGCTTCTCATTCACTAGCCAAGGGAAGGGAAAAAATTCATTTTTCTTTTGGGCAAACACGCGTGAGTTAAGGAGCAGTTTTTTTAAATTTCATTGGGACGTTTACATGCAAAAAAAAAAAAAAACATGGCTTGCTGGGGGGTTAAACGTCTTATTTATTAGCACAAAAGATACATGATCTCTGAAGCAAAGAAGCTGATATAATCAGAAGATTATGATGGGTTATTGTCAACCAACCGCGATCATCTCTACATACAGGTTCATTTTCTTTGGCCACTTGTGTGATTTTTAAGGCAGGCTTAAGGCACACAAACAAAGCACATCATCGATTACCATTGCCAGCAGTCAAGGAGGTAGAAGGTTCAAGTACCCAGGAATCCGGCTGAAAAGCTCGAGGAAGCTTCTTATGAGTAGGAAGTAATCTACGTAACATCTTTTTTTTTCAACAGTCAGTTTGAAGATGTAATCGGACACTCAGTCTCTATACATGTGTAACCAATCAAGTTGTAATTATAAAACCCAACAAAAATAAGTAAGCTCTCTCTTGTAAGATAGATTTCAAACTCCATCAAATTGTATGTAAACTGGAATGAATCTTTGAAACATGTGATTGGTAGATGTGGATCTTCCTTAGCAAGACGTTTGCACATTTTTGAATATGTATGATAAACAAATCTTCTAAGGACGGTGATTGAAAGAAGCGGCTATTTAGTTGCAAAGTGGGATGAAGTGCTTGATAGATTCTGTGATGTTGTGTTTGGTCTGAGTTCAATGGTCGATGGGTATCAGCTGGAGGCAAACCACACAACCTCACATTGTTATAAATCCCGTAAGTTTTGTCCATTCAACGGAGCGCAGGTTCTGTAAGCTCCAACACAAACACCCTTTCTTGATTCAGTGGGATTTCGTTCCAATGAGCGAGTTTGGCAACAAGAGGGAGAAAGGAGTGTCTTGTGATCCTTTAGTCAAAAATAACAGTGTATTTCTTGACATTGCCAGTCAAGATTCTTGACTCTGAAACAGTAACAATAGATTACTGCAAGGTTGTTTGTTTATTTAACCTGTGTGAGTGTACTAAGCCTATCTTGAACCATGATGAAATGAATAATGATATAAATCCGCATGAAAATGAAACAATTGTCATCACGGCAGCAGCACAACCATACCTGTTTTGTTGTTAAACCGAAGAATCTGATTTTTTATCCAGTTCCAAGCATGCAGCTAGCTATGTTGCACACGTAAAGCCCTCTGGAAAAGCATTTTCTATGTAGAGTGTATTTATGACTGCTTCTCCGCAATGTGAAATGCAAAAGCATTCGGATTCACTTGACAAAGGGTTGAAGCAATACTAGATTGAGATGGGTGCAATTGTGCAACTTTGTAGCATGTAACCAAATGGGACGTTGATTAACTCTTGAAATGATCATCTGGCAGTTGGACCTATCAATTGATGATGAAAGTGTTTCTGGTCTTACACTGTTTGTGCGAAAGTGAGATTCAAAACAAGGGTGATAGTATACATTGAGAGGCAAATCAAAATCCTTGGCTAGAGATTTTTGCCTTTTACCCACCGTCTGGATTGAATCATAGTTACATTTTCCTTTATAATTTAATGAAACATTAAAGATCATGGATGCTGCATCCTGCATCTGAAGCGCTTGGTCACTGAGATCAAGTCTGAACGCTATACAAAACTGTTTTTGTCAGCGGTGGGTTACTCCGTGGTGATTAGAATCTGCTCGATGGAAGTTTACTGGTGTTGACCAGTGGCTCCAAGTCGTAGAAAGAGTCTAATACGGTCCAAGGTGTTCACGCCCAGCCGTTGATAAGTTTTGAGAAGTTCAGGCTGGAGGATCCAGACAGTGATGTGGTGATGTGAAGGGAACAGGCAAGTTTGAAGCAGTGATTTGTTGATGTGTCTTCAAACTCAAGAGGGATGATTAAAATAAAAGGTTGGTATTATTTTCGTCTCTTCTGAAAGTCTGGGGAACAATAGCTTTCAGTCAGTACAACTTTATATATCTTGCTCGGCAAGGCCAACTAGATACAAGCATATATGTAGAGTCACCTCCTTGGGCCACAACAAACTTTTGCCTTGGCGGTCCAGCTCATCAGAAATGCAATTGAAGAGCAATATCACCAGATCACCAGCATCCATTTCCAGCAAAAGATCACGACACTTCGATACCTTGGCAGCATCTTCCGACCCTGCCTTGGGAAGATCACAAATTATGCACTCAGTCAGGCTTTCAATAATCTTACGGCCGGGAAGAAACTTGGTGAAAATGTGCATTGCAATCAACGATATGTCCTTCAAATGGGCATACCTTGCAAACATCAACTCTTGGAAATCTCAAGATCGGGAGGAATGGTATCACCGGAAGATTTCCATCTCCAATGGCACATGAATGTATGTTTTCATATCTCTTCCCATGTGTTTCCATTTTGTTCTTCTTCCCATCTGTTTCCATTTGGTTCTGACATGAATCCCTCCTCAGGTCCTCAAACGTGATCCATCCCCAAGGGCAAGGGAAACCCAGAATGATAACCCGATGATTGAGCAGATAACGGATCGGCTACGGTTGATGAATCCAGCCCAGCAGGCAATCCAAATTGCCGCCATCAACCAGCTGCTTGAAGGATCCAGGGCGGTAGTAGATGTCCAGCTGACGACCAAAGCTCAGAAGACTCGAGGACGACCGAAAGGCGCAACAAACAAACCAAGGACCACCAAACGGGAACTGTTGGAGTTCGAACATGTCGAGAAGAAGAGGAAGAAAGACGAGAGTGAAGCTGTCAAAGCAAAGAAACAGAAGCTGAACAATATGAAAGCGGCAATGAAGGCATTCCGAAAAGCTGACCAGAAAGCATTACAGAAAGAAGAAGACAAGGTGTTGGAAGAAGAGGAAGAGATTGAGGCATCTGAGGCCAGGAAAAACAGTCCAGAACCTAGGAAGAGGATCCTCCCTCCTCGGAATGCTCGTTTCAAAGCTCCCCCGCCAGCCAACATGGACGAAGTGTTAACCGCCACGACCAACAAATCCGAAACACTGCCCACCAAAACAGGACCAGCCCCAAAGAAGAAGATTTGACCCATCAAAACCGCAAGCCTCCCTGCCAAAGTCCAAACCCCCCCCCAAAGACCAACCCGCTATGGCTCCTCCCAAACCATGTGACGAAAACGAGCCAGACGACGCGGACAAATCCAGCTATCGCCAATATCTCCCACCTATAATGAAGGACTCAGTGAAAAGCATCCTCAACCCAAGATCCAATGGTCACTGTGGCTAGCGAGCGGTTGTGTGGTGTTTGGGACGAGACCAGGGTGATTACATGCGGATCCGCGAGGGACTCATCACCGAAATCACCAGCCGGAGGGAATGGTATGTCAAAAAGCAAATCTTCCATCGAATCGACAAGATGTTGGACAGCCTCAAGTTTGACACGCCTGAACCCTGTTCTGTTGACAAATGGATGTCAATGCCTTCCTTTGGTGAAGCTATGGCCAATGCCTTTGAGACCGCCGTTTT